GCTGGAACGTTCTGCGAGTACCAATCTGTTGGTGGCCATCTGTTCTCAGTTATATCGTTTGGATCCATCCAATTATCATCTTGCTGTAACAATATTTAACAAATTTAAAAATACTTATTTGACGTTATACGCATTTTAGAAATTTGCAATAAACTACTTATCGAACAATTTAAACTAAGTAAAATAACATTAAAACGAAACAATTACGTAAAATTCTAATTACAAATTATTATTTCTAATTTTGGCACGGAGTAGTCTAATGATGATACTCCTAAATTGAAACAAAGCTAAGTTGAGTTAAATATAATTTTTGACTCCAGGATACTACTTATATTTTCAGTAAAGAAAACCCAGTAACCTCTGTGCTAAACGTGGGATTGGAACATAGTACCATAGGGTCAGCAACAACGCTTGCTACCAGTATATTTACGTCTGTTATTGCATGCCGTAAGCGCAAAGCGCGAGGTATGTACTACTAGGGCCTGAAAATTAAGATTCCAACGTTTTGTCGCATGAAATCGTATCTAGCAATCATATCATACATATAAATGATATATAAAGCACATTGTCAGAAAGATAAATGATTGTTGAACTTATTAATATTTTATTTTTATTTTAAATTTTGCAATTAGTTTCAAATTTATCTAATATGATACAAACTTTTTAAAGTTTATTATTATTTAGCTTTAAAAGATTATAAATCACATCTGGAATAATTTTGTGTAAAACAATGACTGGCCTGTTGGTCTAGTGGTTAGTGACCCTGACTACTATGCCGGAGGTCGTGGGTTCGATTCCCACCCAGGACAAATGTTTGTGTGATGAGCACGATCATTTGTTCTGTGTCTGGGTGTAATTTATCTATAATATTTATGTATTTAGAAATATATGTTTATCAGTTGTCTAGTACCCATCACACAAGCTCTGCTTAGCTTGGGACTAGATGGCGTTGTGTGATAGTTGTGGAATATTATTATTATTATTATTATTATTATTATTATTATTATTATTATTATTAAAAATATGTTTAAAGTTAGTTAGGAAGTAGGGATATTATACTTAATATAAATGTTATAGGTTTTAGTAAACGCATTTTAAGAGAGTTACAACAGATCCATCAAAAATTATTACATATATGCATATTACAATTTTATACGAATTAAATACTTCGTATCTTCGTGGAAATTCTAGCTTTCCAAATGGGAATGAATTTTTATATCGTGTGATTCTTCAAATAACTAAAAATATTCACTAGTGCACAAAATACTACTCATTAAATTTTCAATCACGTTTTAATGAGGTATAGTTACTTAATCTAAATAAAAAATATTTATAATACTATATTATATAAAATATGGATATAAAGCTTGATTGTTTCACAGTTTTTGAAAAAGCATCCGCACATATAAAGAGCTATTACGTGTTTTGATTAACTGAAGTGGTTCTCTTGCTTCAATGTGCTCATAAAAAAAAACTTAATTGGCTCCAACAACTTTAACATTGTCTAGAAAATAAAATGGAAATTGTGAGCTCCTTAGACTTAGATTTTGATTACAGCGCTAATACGATCGAGATGTTAAAAAGCCACGGCGACAGTCGTTTTGTTTGCATAGACACTTACAGCAGTATATTATGTTCTAAGAAGTTATAGTAATGTGCTCATAAAAAAAACTTAATTGGCTCCAACAACTTTAACATTGTCTAGAAAACAAATAGAAATTGTGATCTCCTTAGACTTAGATTTTGATTACAGCGCTAATACGATCGAGATGTTAAAAAGCCACGGCGACAGTCGTTTTATTTGCATAGACACTTACAGCAGTATATTATGTTCTAAGAAGTTATAATAGTGATAGAAATAAGTTACTCCTTCACGATATAGTAATAATCGAGTAACCAAAACTTTAAGACGCCCATTACACAGTAGGTTTTGCTGTCAGTTTTACAACAATCACGGTTGTGACTGATGAATAACCTACCGTGTAATGCCGTGATTGACGGTTGCATGAAATTGATTGACAAATATCTGGATATTTTGATTTTTACGTCAGTCAACTATCAGTCACGAATTTTGATTGAACGTGTAATGGCATTTTGTCAATCACGTATCGTTGCTCCTAGCTTTTCTTCGGGAGTTATAGCTTTTCGCATACATGTATCTTTTTTTAGGTATGGTGTTACACCATACCTAAAAAAAAAGATACATGTAACACCAGTAACTTATCAAAATAAGCCTCTTTCATGCGAAAATATTTGCATAGTTTTATCCTCTTTTGAAACCCGTATGTTAATAAGTTAATATGGGTATAGAAATCCCTTTTTAAAAGTCAGTCTTTTACCCAGCACCTTATTTTTATACGTTTTTAAACACACATGTCTTTTTTATGAGTATCCATCCTTTCCCTCTGAAATTTTGGGTTTGGCTGACGATCAGTCAGAATGAGCGTGTAATGTCGAAATAATTCTATCATTCAAACATCAATCATGATTGATCGAACTGATTGACGCTTGCCTAGTCGTGTAATGGCCGTCTTAAGGTTAATCACGGTACGAGTTAATACAATTCAGTATCTTCCCGTTTTGGCCGTGTCATAAAGCTTAATCTACTTTTTAAACGTTGAATTCTTAAAGATTATAAGTGCCTTATCTGTGTAATCATCTATTTTTTACAATTTATTAGTTTTTATAGTGCTGTTTTACTTAATCTGACTCTACATTTAAGCTTTATAATTAGTACGTCATAAGTAGAATATTTTATAAAATTTTTTGACTGCTACGTGGGTCTAGTAGTAGTAAATGCAACTGCTGATAATGAGGTCCCGGGTTCGAATTCCGGGTCGGGCCAAAAAATCAGTTATTGAGTTTTTCTGTCAAAAAATTCTCAGTAGCTGCTCGGGAGTCAGGAAGGTGGCGGTGTCTCAACCCCGTGCCTCGGAAAGCACGTAAAGCCGTTGCTCCTCCGCCTGATCTCTCTCCGGTCGTGACGGTTTACCGTCCCATCGGACTATAAGAGTAAGGTAAAAGAGAGTGCATCTGTGCTAGCACATACACTTGGTAACTAATCCTTTCCTGCGCCAATATCTAGTCTCCGTTCAGGCTGGTCACCATGACCTAAATTTGGTCTGGAGGACGTTAGTATTATAATTTTATACAAAGTAATTTAAATGATTTATTATAATTTTCTTATTTATTAAAATGTTTAAACAAAGCAAAGTACGAGTAAAGCACTTTACTAATTGCTATGACTCTATATAATTTGATACACGAAGTAATGCCGCATCCGCGTTTTGCCAGTAAGACGATACTGCTTGTTTTAATAGGTATGATAGCTAGCTGTGATATTTAATTAAACTACAATACTCGTTCAACGCACCATGTTTTCAGATATGTATTCGGTTCTTCCATTTACGTTTTAAACGGACTTTTATAATTTTGATGCAAAGTATGCAAAGGACATTTGATGCAAAGGAGACAATAAATATAGTCATTTAATGTATTAATTAAAATTCCACTGTACTAAATTGTATATATTTCGACTTATTGAAGAAATCAATATAAAAATCATTGCATTGAAACATATTAGTATATATTCCTACAATATTATTAAAATTATACAGAATTTTTAGACTTCAATAATTTTAAAGTTACAGTAACTTAAAATTGAAGTAAGACTGCATGACAATTTTTAGTTTTTTTTTTTCAATAATTGTAATAAATTTAACAATAAAATATATAACATAATAAATGGTAAAATATAATTATTTATCCACTATAAAGATGGCAGAATATCCACCACCCCGTATCGTCCCGTGGGCCCCGTAAGAGGTGACAGAGGGAAACAAACTAGGAGACAAGCAGCAGCGTCTTCCTAGTAATAACTTAAAAATAAAAAATAAACTGTGGTTACCAACCCAACTGCCAAGCGCGGCAGCTATGGAGATAACTTCCCTATAAGGCAGTCTATGAGGGAGGCCTATGACCAGCAGTAGACTACATGCTGCAACACTAACCCTAATTATTTATTTGGTAAATTTCTAGCTTAAATATAATAGTGGTTGTAATACTTAGAATTTTTTAAATTAATTCTGCATATATTTAATATCCCTTCCTAGGACCCTTCTTAAGTTGTAGGACGTAAAGATATACTTATTAGATGTTATTATAAAAATATTCTGTTTATATTAAAACGCTGGTAGTTTGCGCAATGGCGACGCATTACATCCGAACTGTGATAAACTTTGTCGGTGTCCCGTAATAATGCGACACAAATAAAATTTTAAAGAAATAAAAATGTGTTCTGAAGAAAAAATATATATTTAAAGAAAAACCTGAACCTGTCAATTAGATAAATTGAAATATGATAAACATTTTTAATTTTTTAACTTATTCATGAACTTGATTAATTTTAGCGATCGACGAGGCACGATATAGTTCGCGTTTTAAAGAAATTGCAAAAAGAAGAAAACAAGCGGACTGGCGAGTCAGGACGCGCGCTTGCGCCCGCTTTTACATTCCCCAATTTTGCCGACGTTTAATAGTATATTGAATACAGTTTTTGTAACAACATAAAATTTAAAAATAATCGAAAAAATTACTTACCGTGCTAACTCCCGCAAAAGGCGCCAAAAGAGCCACCAACCTAATGGAACATAAGAAAATCAGGACACAGCTTTTAGGAATTAGAAAAATATATAATTATTTAGTGTGTAATAGTATATTAAAATATACATTTAATCACAATTAAAACAGCTTCGAAAAAAAATAGTTACAAATGAAAAACATGAAATGATCAAAGACTTGAATGTTACCATAGTACGTGGAGCGCCATGGCACGGAGCGCGCTGCGCCTGAGTCCCGTGCGCGCGCGCCGTTAGTGCCGGGATACTACGGAGAGAGGAGCGCCCGGGCGGCAGCTCGCGCACCCCCGCCCCGCGCGCTGGTGCTGCGGGAGCGGGCGCGGCGGCCGGCCACGGCGCTGCCACCAGTAGTGCGGTGCAGCCATGTCGGGCCCGGCGCGTGCGCGCCCCAACGCGCTCCACCTCGTGCCCGCCGTCCTCCTGCTGCTGCACTGGATCCCACAACCTGTCACAGCTGTAAGTACAGTTTCAACCCCTACAGCATGCAAAAATCAAAAACCGATCGAAATTACGATAAAAAGACATCAACGCGTTCGAATGACTACCCACCAGTGTTTTTGTTTTAGCACAAGTTTTTCGGGCGCTTGTTACAAATTGCAAAACTAAGTTCTAAAACATAAAAGCTTTACCTTTACGCACATAGTAGGCGGTCCATAGAAGTCATTGATTGAATGACGTTAAGTTTTACACTGAAAGCTCTCAGCGGTTTTCCTTGTAAATTATGATAAGTAACTTCCTAACGTACTACTATGGCATACAGTTAAATTAATATTTAAATCCATAATATAACATGTAGGGTATGATTTGTGTAATTATCTTCAAGATAACGTTATTCATCAAAGGAATATTTTCCGCCAACAAACTTTATTAAATATGTATACAACGATATGTAGATATAATGTATTGTTATTGAACGTAATACTGTATTTATAGACAAAATATCTTAATTAAAAGCTAGACGAAAAATCATAAGCAATTTATTTTTAAGTTTGGTAAAAAAATATGCAAATTATGAAGTGCTTTTTTGGAATAAAAGAGTATACTTTATTATTTGAACTGTTCATGTTTTATTACACATTATACATATTACATTTTAGTTTATTCGTAGTCACTGAACACAATAAGGCAAGTTTTTCTTTAAGTATTCTATTTATTAAGGCAATAATAGTTATATGTACTCGTATTTACACACACATCATATTAGTAATCATTTTATTCAAAAGGATTTTCTTGGGTTTCGTATTCAATAATTCGTGTCAGGTAATATGGTTGAGTCAAAGAGCATGTAATCAATACATTAAGGTAGAGTGCTCTTTCTATAACCAAAGTCCAGGAAAAGGCAAAATGGGAAACCGTCAAATATGCTTTATATAGGTGCACTGCGCTACAATTTCAAGTCAACAAGTCATCTTCTGAACTTAGGCCTGCCCCATAGGTTGTCTCAAATGGGGCATATTTGCTATGGTTGCCATGCTTGGTAGGCGGATTGTCAAGTTTTTTTTTTAATTTGAGTTGTTTTTAGAGGAGATGCTGCTTTATTGGTATATTTGTTGTTTAATTTGACTCTATCGCTTTTTAGGAAACCTGCGGCATGATATGGGATTCTCTCACACCGCCAATACACAAGTTTGCATATTTATGTCCTATCTATTTAAGAATATTTTACGAACAGTAGAGTATCGTTACTTGTACCAACAAATTAGGTTACTTTTTTATCATATTAATTTTTGATAAACATGGCAAAGAGCCGTGGTAACTCATGGGCTAAGCGCTCTTCGTAAATGTAAAGTTGTAGGTAATTACAATTGCAAAATTTGCAATCTTTCAAAAAATATACTTGCAATTTTTACTTTTACTTTAATTATTATTCAAATATTTGTTATTGTTTCCCTTTCGTAGCAGCGTGGTAAGCAAATATTAATTGTAAGTACTGTTAAAACTTCACTTGACAAAAAAAAGGGCTGGATAAAACTTTCTTTAAATGACTGGTGTATCAACATATTATGTTTGGTACTATTCCTTCTAAACAGCAGAAATATCCTCTAAGAAGCCTATTTTATAAAACTCAAATTAACGATCTAAATTAAATCTAACTAAAATGTTACACACAATATTTAAAAAAAAACTATAATAGAGAAAAACTAAAACTAAAAAAATAAATTTTCATACAGTCTTACTCCTCGTGGTATCGTGCCAAGAACGCTGGCTGTGTTTCCTCGTTGAAGCTATACTTAGCCTTAGCCTATCTAAATTAATAAAAAAAGAGGATTTTAAAATATCAAGCAGTGATGAACTTTTAAACCAAAGTACCGATGAAATAAAACCGGTCTAGAAACTACAACGTTGTATCTCCAAAACAAACAAACCACAAATTTCCAAAAAGAATGGTGAATTTTATGGGCTTCAAGCCATAATTTTACTGGCGATACTTATGGGTGGTGGTGGGTAAGTGATATTCATATCAATGGTCCTAATCCGTGTGGTGGTTGCTGAAGAGAATTGACTAGCCCATTTTGTAATGTAGGTGGCGATAGTGGATTAAGACAGAAAGATCTTGTGGCTTCCGATTGAAGGCGGCATAATTATCTCATTTACATCAGAACTAAAATACCCTGGCATCTAATGTGCGATGGGGCCTATACACCAATTCTAGCGACCACGATCGTGTAGAGGGCATAATCGCCTATAAATGGTCATGATCGGTAATGATCGAACGTAATGGCCCCTGTGTCGATTTTTCGGACAAACATCAAAGGAAATCCGGCCATGATCGTGCGCGCGTCTACATGATGCTCTATAAACTTACCTTGAGGCGTCCAGTAATGCCAAGCATGACGGTTAGGACCATCTTCACAACGACAGGAGAGACCCACGTCTAGCAGTGAAATCTTATCGGCCAATGAAGATAATTAGCCCTATTGGCATCATAAGTCAGACGCTGTTATTGTTTTATGTTTCAGTGTTCTTCAAAATTCTGTTAACGTAGCTCTACTTATCTTACGGTACCCTGTTTTATGGAATTAAGGGTAACAAATGTCAGTCACATAACATAACACCTGATGGTACGTGTATATTGTGGCCCATATACACTCACATCTATTCTCGATAATGAATTGAAATTCAGAAGAGTTGTCACCCCGTAAAAGGTAAAAAAGTTTCTGATTATCTACAATCACTGTTTAACATACGATGCTATTCCGTGATAGCGTGGTCATTCAATGTTTGAGCCAACTCATTTGTGGTGCTACATCCATAAATACAGTTCCAGCCCGAACACCCTTCCTCCAAAAGCCGTTTGTTTACGTATACTCGTGTGTAATTAAAACAAAAATATTAACTACTCTGTCATGTAGGATAAAAAAAACTTCACGATGTTTTCTTTTTTACCGCTGAGCATTTAGCTTGAACGCTATTAAACATAAACGAATTTAAAACTAACCTTTTAAAACTTTGCCAGTTTAAGGTGGCATTATTTTAAATATGGAGCTTAAAAGTTATTTAATTTATACTAGCTGGCCCGGCAGACGTTCTGCCCTTTGAGATTGGCGGCACGATGAATTTTAATACGAATTCATCCATACTTTTTACAGTGTGTGTTTTTTATGTTACAATTCAATTCAAAACAATGTTGCTAGCTATAACTGGACTGTTCTTGAACTAATGATGACACCCTTATCGTTTTGTAACTAATGTTTACTTTTACGATTTTTAAGTTGTACTTGAAAATATAAATGAAAAACTAAAACAAACTTATTTGATCTTCAGGACGAAATTCAGCAAAATAGTTCAATCGGAATAAATAACCTCGATATTTGTCTGTCAAGAAACACTAATTGTGCAAACATTTTATTTCAGTTCTAGGATAATTGGAATTTCTTACTCAATTTCATATTTAATATAATTGCACTGCCCCTCAAATTCCTACGCCCGTCACCTTCTTTTTCTTTTGCTCGTTCTTCGTCGTTGTTCTTTTTCTTTATCGAGCAGTGGATATAAATCTCTCATATTTTAGGAAGGTTTGTCTTTCGAAAATCATTTTATTTGTCTAGCACCTTTGATGCTACTTCCCGTTGCAGACCTAACGGTAAATAGCATCAAAGTTTTTTTCCGATAAGAATGACCAGCGAGCACACAGTCCACCTGATGGTACTCGTAAGTGGTTGCTGCGGCTCATAGACATCTCCATCTATCCTCGTTTGCGAGGACTAAGATGGAATGTCTCTTTTCAAGCAAAAAGGGTCTACGGTTCTCTACACTCACCAACGAAAGACAGCAGCAATAAGCTCTCACAGAATACCAGCGTTAAATAGCAGCTTAACACTGCTGTGTTTCGTATGGTAAGTGTAGAGAACCGGAGACCCTTTTTACTGGAAAAGAGGCATTCTATCTTAGTCCTCACGACTGACAAAGCATCTGCATTTTAATACGCAAACGAGGATAAATGTAGATGTCTATGAGCCACAGCAACCACTTACCATCAGGTAGACTCGTTTGTCACCCTGCCGTGTCCCTGACTGAATGGTATAATGAGCCAGTATAGTTACAGGCTGAGAACCATTCCATCTAATTCCTCAGTGGTAATAACGGATCTATGTTTTTTTTTAAATTAAAAATCGTTACCTTTACATACACTAGGATTTTCTCCTGTGTACTGAGGGCAGTTTATATACATAAATTTTACAAGGACGAACATCCAGACCCGGAACAATTATTTGTAGGCCATACAAGTACTTGTACCGTGCCGGATTCGAACCCGCGGCCCATTGGTACTCATTGATAAGCTACTGCGCCACGATGCCGCGAGAATCTATAAGAATCTGTATCCGCCTTCTTTGTTTAAAGTTGATTGTGGTGGATAATCAGTTCACTTTTTAACCGACTTCAAAAAGGAGGAAGTACTCTATTCGACTGTATTTTGTTTTGTGTTACCTCATAACTATTTTCTAAGTGAACCGATTTTTTTTATTTGGGCTGGTGCTTTACTTCTGATACTCTATAAATTTGATCAAGGCCTGACCAGTATTTTTTGAGTTACCTTTAATAATTTATATTGAAGTCGGTTGTTCAAAATTTTTTATTTTCCCACTTGTTTATAAATTCCCTCAATGTATAAAGATACGAGTACTCCCAATAATAAATCGTAATAATAACAGGCTGTGAAGCGTTCCGTTTACATATTATTGCTTAGAGGTGATAACGACAGTTGCAACCTCAAGAAAGTATAGTAAAATTAGGGAGCATATTTCCGAACTAGCTGTTCCCCGCGACTTCGCCCGCGTACTATTTGGAGTATAAATTTTTTTTGGCGCTTTTTCTAAAATTAAAATTAAAATAAATATAATAATAAAAAAAATTTAATTTTTTTGGCACGAAACCCCAGTTTTTTTATAAAATAAAAGTCTAATCCTTTTCCAAAATAAAAGTAGCCTAAGTTACTCCTTGTGACATCAGCTATC